TCATCTTCAATAAATATCATAGCTTCTAATTTAGGCTCATCAACTGAAATATTAGCAATTTCTAATATTTCCATATCATCAAGAGACTCAAATCCATCTCGAAAATGAGAGAACCTCGCTTGTAGCCGCGGAAGTAAATACGATGGTTCTTTTTTTCGGATTTTTTTTTTATTTTTCAATAGACACGTGTATCTGATACGCGTGTCCTTTTGAAATTAAATAGTATTTTAATTGGATACGGTAAAGCCGTATGCGACACGTATCGGTGCTGTATTAGAGGCGTATCCGTGTATCGGATACAACATGCCTTCATAAATAAGTGTATTGGTGCAACATTGCCCTCAATGCATTTTTAGTCTATTCTTGATATATTGTCCATGCCAATGCGTCTGCAATTTAAGTGGATATGAAATATATATTAATAAGTCAAAAATGTTGGAGGATCCAGTGATATGTAGGTGTGATGAATTTTAAATATTTTGAATTTGTTATATGAAAAAAGGGGATATAGAGGACGTATGTTAAAGCTTTAGAGGGAAAGTTAAATGTTTAAATTTGAAGATGATCGTCAGGTGTACTATGATAAAAGAATTTGATGGATACATTAAGATGATGATCTAAAACATCAATTAAGCCGACTATATTGAGTAGCTTTGGGTTTTGTAACCAAGAAACCAGTCATAAATAAGTTTTAGTGCAACAAAATGAAAAACTTTAAAATGGATTTGTTAGAAAACTAAGAATGGCACACAGCTAAATGATTGTATCAAGAAAAGCTGGGCGAGTATCATTCGTTTAAGGAAAGTTTTGTATAAAAATAGGCTTATTGTTTGGATATGCATATAGGATAATAAATGTTTCGTCAATAAGATCGGAAGATATCAGCAACGGTAATGTCAAAATTGTTAGGCTAAAATTTAAATCGGATAAAGATTTGAAAAGGCTCATGTAGCAAAGTCCTACATGGGATCCTAGTTGGGTACTCATTGGTTAGTGGTTACCCATACTTTGCACGGGCGGACTTCTTCTACCCACGCCTATTCATGGTGACTTTCGGGATGCTGTACCCACCCATATCCATCCACTTTCCACGCTTTTTGAATGCAGTTCACCACAAACTGATGGTCTTGAGGCTTGTTGCCCTTTATTATGACAGCAAACTTTTAAGATACATCAGAATTTACTGTGGTCGCAGTGCAGTTCAGTGCTGCGCTTTGCATAGTGAGGATTGCGTGTAATATACGGCATACGATAATTAACAATGTAAATCGGTTTATCCCTCGATGTTGAGTACCCACCCATACCCACTCACGAGGTCATGGGCATATCCATACCCACCCATACACATTGGGTATGATTGGATGTGTGGATGGGTGCGGATATGAGTACCCAATACAGAGCTCTATCATGTAGTGGTCCACAAGTATATGGAGGAAAAGTATTCCTAAGCACAACCCCTAATACTTGTTATAAAGATGCCGATTGGTGTTGATCATGATAATATGGTGAAGTATGTTGGGCTTACGAACCTCATTACTTCTGGGACTTCCATTGATCTTGCTTTTTTCAAATGAGTTCATGGTGCTTCACTATATCAACATGTTTTGAAACCATGAAATAACCATCATTAAAACAGACGCCTTAACTTTTGAAAATTCTTCATTTTTATAATATATTGGTTTGCTTGTTTGTGGTTCTTCATTGACAGGGCCAACGCTCAGCAGCCGAAGCTCTTTGTGGGCATGATTCTGATTCTTATTTTTGCTGAAGCTCTTGCCCTCTACGGTCTTATTGTTGGCATCATTCTCTCTTCTAGAGCTGGTCAGTCTCGTGCAGACTAATAAGAAACTCAACTTTTATTTATTTATTTTTCCTTCATCGTGGCCTTTCTGATTTTCATAAGAGTTTGCAGCAGGCTCTTCTTTTTTGTACAACTTTGTATTAAGTTTTTTTTTTATTGTAATCTCAGCATTAATGGACATCATTACTCTCTAGTTTTTTCTGGCATGTATTGTTTTATCGTTCGTGATGCTACCAAGGTTAATATTTTTTCCAGAAAAATCAATATTATTATCATTAATCTTATTATTTGAGATGCTAAATTTATTTTTTAATAGTTATTAATATGCAGTTAATCTATTATCAGTATTTGGTTTGCTACAAAATTGAGCAAAAATATTTTTATGTTTATATTCATGAACAAGCTATATATGAACGATCTAGCGAAGCTAAACACATTGTTTTAGCTAAATATGAACTGTTTAGCAAGCTAAACAATGTTTCTATATATTGAGTAATCTTTTTTAACATGAGTTATTTTTAGCTTCAACAATCCTGCAAGCCAAAGAGCTATCATCTGGAACATATCCTTTTTCTACCCAAAATTTTTTTTTCTTCATTTAATCAATCAAAATTTTCAACTAGCCATCTACATAATATCAAGTATCTAGATTCACATTTGATGGCTTTCTTTTCGCTTTTTAAAATAATGTTTTAATACAAAAAATTTATTTTTTTAATGATGAAAAGATGCTTCAAGAAATAATAAAAAAATCATTCCAAACAACTGTTTTTTAAAATAATTTTATAATATAAAAATTTAATTTTTTTATTAAAAATTTATTTTAAGAAGCAGAAAGAAAGCTATCTAAAACCAAGCCTTAATTAAAATCTAAAGTGGTTAATAGTGTGGTTGTGACAGGTTGTCCAATTCAATAAACTTGAAACATGTTTTATATATTTCAAACTTCTCCCCTAAAAAAATGTAAAGCCTAATAAGAAAATTGAAAACTATAAACTAAATAAAAAGTTAGTACAGTTTCGAATAGACAATAGCTCCTTATCACACTATTTTATTATCAAATTGCAAACAAAACTAAGCTTTCATTTGCGACAATTTTTTACGACTTCTTAAAGCCGTTTTCTAGCATAAAAATTTTAATTTTTTATTAAAAAATTACTTAAACTTTAAGAAATAATAAGAAAGCCATCCTAAATGAAACCTAAGACCATGATAATATGATGATACGTATATTTCTGAGTGTGGACTCCAAACACCATTGTAATTGTACTGAGTAACAACACAATTCTAATCATTTAATCCGGTTTTGGGCTGGTCAGACTGATTCAATCTACTTTACTTCACTATTCTTTTTAATTAAACTAATAAAGTTTTCAAATGTAGAAAGCAGAATTAATCCTAACTCTAAAACATGTTTGCTAATCACAAGCAATCAAATCAGCCCAAAGTCAGAAGAAATTCCACAAATGCAATTACAGAAATAACCAGAGAAGATCCTTAACCAGATAGAATAGCCTCTCTCCTGTACATAGTTACTTTCTTCCTTAAACAAAAAAGAACAAAGCAAGTAATAAAATGGTCCTTCTAACAGGTCTGCCATCTTTTTTCATAAATAACTACAAAGAACTTCCTTAAACTAAGATAGTACCAAAACAAGAGATTTTTTGCAGAAACAAATCCACATTAACGGCTATTTACAAGTTATAAGATAGCATACATAGAAGCACATAACCCAAAAAAGAAAAAAAAGAAAAACATTCACAGAAGCAACAAAAGTTAGTCCCATAGCACATGATCAAGCATATATGACAAATAATAAGTAACCAGTACTTGAAAAAACTTCAGCCTGGAACGAAGTAGTCCATCTTGTCAACAGGAAGGTTCAAGACGGAAGTTTCCACCTGCAAAATATGAAATTTAAATCCATGAACGTTTTTGATCCAGCCACCAGAAATATTAAAAAAAAGAGCATTAAAAGCAGCAATCTCTGCAACACATACTAAGACTTCATTTGGGACAGCTTTTTACTGCTTCTTAAAGCAGCTTTTCAGTACAAATCTTTTAATTTTTGTACTAAAAAACTGCTTTAAGAGCAGAAACAAAAATTGTTCCAAACTAAACCTAAATATATCTGAAATAGAACAGCCAAAGCAAATGTAGAGCAAAACCACTGGAATACTATGAAAAAAATTTCAAAATAATCAGGTCTAACACAAAATATTTTTTCACAGTAGGAGAATCACTATAAATAACTCCATTGAGTTTCACACACCTTTGAATTAAACAATCACCCCCAAGTAAAATTATGGAATTCTTTTAGGACCAATAATTTTATCAAATTGAGTATAATTGCCTGTTATAGCATCACCTATAATAGGAATATTAATCAACTCCCATTCTTACAATTTCTCAAGATAATCTTTTTACATTTAGATTTATTTTTTTTACTCAAGGTCCTTTCTACTAACTGGAATAAAGGAGATAATATAGTTTCAGCCCAAAATGAGAATGAGCTGTAGTTATGTCTTGTAATTGTGGAAGATATGGAGGACCCCTCAATGGGTTGAAACAAATGTGCGTAGTGTTAATTTAATATCAAGTAGTTCATATTAAGAAGAAAGACAACAACGAGAAGTCCCTAAATATTTGCAAAACAAGAATAAAAATGGCAGATATGGAGGACCCTTCTTAACTTTTATGGGCTTGAATAGAATTCTGAAGCAGAGAGGCTTACCTCCTCAAATGGAACAAATACAAAGGGTGACAAGCCCCTCCTATGTGAAGTAGCTGGCACATCAGGGTTATGTGTCTCATCTTCCTGCCACCCTTCAACTACTCCTAAAATGTCATCACCATCATTGTTTATTTCAGACTCATTCACACCAGTGGTAACAAGTCTCAACATGTCGAGCCGGTTGTTCGCACCTACCGTGGTTCCCCTAATTCTGTAAAGAACCACCAACTTTAGTACAACTGTGGAGGATTCAACAAACAACCCAAAATATTCAAAGTTCTGAGTTTGGCACAATTTTGATGTATAATTCAGAATTTCCAAATAAAATTCCCAGAAAAAACAATGAAAATAATATCAAAAAATTTAAATTTTTAGCTCAATATGCATCTGTTGAGTACCTCAGCCGCATTCTAAGAACAGTTCTGCGTGAGCCTGAATACAAGAGAACAGCTTCAATCTGCAAAAATAAAAAACAAGTCATGATTTTGCTAGGAAAGAAGAAAAGGGGAGGATTGATTGGTGACATTATATGGTGTTGGTGCTTTAACAGCAAAAACTCAAACAGGTAGAAAAAATAAACGGAAAAAATACCTGCTCACCAGAAAGTGTATAGTCACCTTTGAAGACGCACTCAGATTTAGATGCACGACTCATGATTTTTGCTACCTCTTTAACTTTTTGAGATGAAATCTAAACGTTAACAAAAAATGGAATCAGCGAATAGATGCTAGAAGATAAACTAATATATAAGAACAAATGTGCAAGTCTATAATACCTTGTACAGGAACTTGCCATTTAGGAAAAATCTGAGGTAACGGTAGTAGCAAACCTGAAATTCATATTTGGAACAAATAATAATAGAAGATTTTTTTATAAAAATAACTCCAAAATATAAAAAATTCTCAAATATCATATCTAGGAGCAATAAACCCTGGATTTTAGGCCTTCAGAAATCATTTGCTAAAGGCCAACACTGCAAAATACCTAAAGCTAAACTATATCACAATACTAAAGCTTCTTTAAAATAAACCATACCAGATGGACCGGATTAGTGACCTTCCACTCTGCAACTCCAGTACGTATGTAAGTATTTCTGCTCACATAAAGACCTGTTAGAGGAAAAATAGCAGCTTAAGATCTATCATACTAACTAATAATGAAAAAACTATATAATAATGAAAACTTCAACAAGGTATAAGTAAATTTCAATCAGTAACTGTGAGGAGCTAACGGTAAGGATTTATTAAAATATTTAGCATTCATCTAAATTTTTTTTTAAACTTAAACTATATTGACCAGCCCATCTCTGAATTCGACAAGGTAGCAGCTGAATTAAATGAAGCATACAATAAAAATGATAAAGAATATCACTGAGATAAAATTCAGCAGTTACTATAGCACACTTATAATCACAAAAAAAGAAAACATAAGTGATGTATCCAAAAATTAATTCTTGTTATAACACATGAAAATTTATTAAAACTTTAGATACGAATAACATCAAAGATATATATATATATATATATATATATATATATATATATATATATATATATATATATATATATGTAACACTATTAAGAAAATATAAAGCATACCATCATGTCGAATCCTTGGCCTGTGAATCCACATCTTTCCCATGAACACTCATACATGGATTGCACAATTTTGTAGTTTGTCAATGCTCCAGAAAGCTTCATTAGGAGTTTTAAATTGGTATTACAAGCATACTATGGAGAAAAAAACTTATCCATCTATATTATTACTGCCATGCTTTTCAGGCATGCACTACGCCACAAAATAGGATTGCGAACAGTATATCGCCATTTTGCGACAAACACATGCGCCCTCCCTAAACTGTATGGACTCATTCGGGAAAAAACCTGATTATGATTGTCGAAAACACAACAACATGAGAACAGGTAAAATTTAAAAAAAAAAAAAAATGAGAACAGGTAAAATTACTAAAAAAAAAAAAAAAAGCAATATCCATTTATAAAAAGGTCAACAAACTACATTGTCAGGATTGCTAGATGAGTAGGGAATCAGAAGATAATCTTCAATATGGAGACAAAAACATAATAGAACAGTAGAGTAATTTTTTCATGTCAGTTAGTCGTGGTAGAAGATAAAGTGAAAACTTGTTTCCAAAAGGATATTACAATTCTTACCCGAAGTGCATATAACATATTCATATTCCCACATTGCATTAGTACTAAGAAACAGCACAATTAGTATAAAAAATTTACCAGTATGCTTGGCTCTAGTGGCTGACATTAGGAAGGAAGGGGGCTTCACAAAACAAGTTTTCAAGCAAGATTAACCAAAGACCAAAAAATTGTTCATTTAATATGTAATATTATGCATAGCCAAACTAAATGCAATAGGAGAACTGTCTTAGCAGCAACGTCAAAATGGGAACCCAAAACAAAGAAATAAATACATGAATTGATGAACCAAAGGCTTTTTTTTTTCATTTAATATGTTATATTTGCAGAGCCAAAATAAATGCATATAGGAGAATTGTCTTGGTAGCTTATCAAAATGGGCACCCATGAGAAGAAAATAAATGCATGAGTTGATGAATAGCACTAAATGACATGAGCTAAGAAAGCATTCCAGTGGTAAAAGACTTGCAGGATGCTAGATGGCCATATAACAACTAAACTACCATTCAATAACGGGGATTTATGTCAGATATCTATTTAGAAATGATAAGAATGAGAGAGGCCATGATACAAACTACAAACTCTTCTCTTATTGAAAATAAGTTCCTTCAGCAAGTTAAAAATACCTGACGGATGGCTTTCTTTTACATAAAAAGGTAGTCCATAGGTCCCATAGTTGCATAGAGAGCAAAAAGAGGATGTTTGCAATGATAATTAGAAATATGAATTCGAATACAATTTCCTAACACAAGAATGTAATAAGTTAACGAATCCTGTCAATTATCTAACTAGGAAAATTTTCATGAAAATAGTCTCTATCTTGACATCAAAAGACACACACAAATATATATATAAAGTTAGGCTTCTTTAATGAAAAATAAGCAGTTCCAAATTTTCCTTGAGGCGTCAGGTTAATTATGATACATTGTCACACTTCCTTCATCTAAGCCTTGAATCGTGATTCCAAATCCACACCATTTACTTTAGATTTTTCACGAAGAAGGATAAAATGGTCTTCTCCCCTGTCGCTCCCAGTAATACATCAAGAGAGGGAGTGTTCAAGAGAAAGCAATGAAACAAGCAAGCGAGCTAGGGAGGGGACAAAAATTTAGTTGGTGGTAAGGTCCGCGACATCAAGAAAGGAGATAATCAATACCCTAAAATCCCACCTTCATTTTAATATTTCCCTAAATAAACATGCTTTCCTGTGCACATGCCAAGGTTGGTACGAGTAACAAATTTGAATGCAATTAAACAGGAGTAACAATTTTGTTGCTTTGCATTAGAATTTGTGGATATTGTAGACGGATTTCCTAAATTAAGAGAGAAAAACCAGGAAAATTTCCTGAAATTTTATTTAAAAGGATATACTTAAATATGCAAATCTGAAGGTGACATAATAATTCATCTTAAACAACATATTTCCAATAATTGATTAATCAAATATTTTTCATATTTGCAATAATTCTTCTTTCAAGTTATGCTGTCCAGTCTCATAATAGCTCTTGTTGTTGCATTCAATTGAGTTTTTTTTTTTTTATATGCTAATGTTCCATGCAACTCAAATGAAAGTTTATTATGATTGGTAAATTCCCTGTATTTCCTTGGTCAATTTTCACTAACTGATAAGTAGGGCCGCAAGCGAACCAAGCGTTCGACGAGCTACTCGATGCTCGGTTCGATTAAAGCTCGTTTGTGATCGTTTAACTAACTAGACAAACAAACATGAACAATATTTTAAATACTCCATCCTTAAATAAACAAGCTTGAACACTAATTTGTTCAGTTCATTTATGTTCACGAACAACATCATTTGAAGTTTGTGAACAAGTTCGACATTAAGCTCGATAAAAGCTCGAATGGAGAGAAATGCAACAGGTAAACTTCATTTAAGAATATATTCATAAAGATTAATCATATTTTCATTTTAAATAGAAATTTGATTTTATTATAAATTTAATTTACTGAACAAAAGACATTTCATATTTGTCTATGCTTGCTAGATTGTTTATTTAAGATGTTCATGAACAAATTTAATGTTTGTTTGTTCAATAGATTGTTTGTTAAATATGTTCACGAACATAGCTCGTTAAGGCTTGTTTGTTTAAAGCTCGATAAACATTAAACGAACCAAACATGAACCAAACATGAACACCCTTAAATTAAACGAACCAAACATGAACACAAATAATAAAGCTCGAATCAAACATAAACCAAATTTGAACAAGCTAATGATAAGCGAACTCAAACATGAACACTCACATACTCGGCTCGGCTCGGCTCGGTTTGCTTGCAGCCCTACTGATAAGTTTACATTTTTTTAATTAGCAATTCATTAGAATTAGCTCATGAATCAAACTTCTTCACAGTATCATGTTACATCTATTCTTTATTTCATTCTTACTTAATGCACATTCATTATAATTTCAATTCTACAAGGAGTTTAATTGCTTCTTGCACAATTTTCTTAAATTAAATTTACCATACCATTCAGTGGTAAAAAAAAATGCAATATTAAATTGCTACTTAAAAAAATGCCTACATGACAACAGATTTTACTTCACTGATTGAGGCTTCTTCCCTCATTTAGAGAAGTGGAACAAAGTCAAGCAGAGATCATAATTCAACGTTGACATGAAGAAAGTGTGAAGCAGGAATCACAGTTCAAGGCTGAGATGAAAAGAAAATTTGCAACAGCATGTCTTTCTCCCCAGAAGCTAGTCAACCTTAAATACATAGGAAGAGTTTGATAACTTCATGAATTGAATGGATTTAATACTCTGGAATCAGTGTTTGATATTTTTTACAGGATGCGCTCAATTGTGTGGTAAATTCGGCGGCTGCCAAAAAACAATAAGGAAGCTTTATGATTCTGTTAGACTAGTCCAACCAGTCCATATGGGACTGGCCTACGAACAAACAGAGGCGGAACTCTCCGCCTCTTGCATATGTCGCGTGATTCGACGCCCAGACAGAGCAGTTTTACTTGGGATTTCCAAGTATTTCCTAACAGATTCTGTCAGAGAATGTTTTACTATAGTATGATAACATTGTTCTGTATCTCATTTACTTCAAGATCTAACTTTAGGTAGGCAGACATCAAACTCCTAATGCAAGGTTTACATGCTTCTAAATTATTTAGAACTTAACTCCATAAGGAATTATTGCTATGCATTTCCATTTAAATTTGTTACCACCGTTTCACTGCTTCTATTTGATTTTTCTTATATGTCTAGCTGGACTCACAATCATGTAAAGGGACTTCGTGACGAGGCATGTAAAGTCAGTCTAGATAACTTCTAAGAAACTTCTCATTGGTTGTCCTATTTCATCCACTCCTTTCTTTGATCAACTGGGAGACTAATGATTTTTTGATACACTATTAAATTATCATTAAACAAACGGATTGGTTTTGTTGATTTTTTTACTAGTAATGTTTCTCTATTTTCTAGTCTTGATTTGGTTTACATGAATGACTGACTTTTTTGTCTAATTTGATGCAAAATAAATTTCTATGATAATGTGATTTTCAATTGATTGTATGATTTTGATGCTTCCAAATTTTGACATATTATTTCCTGTAGAAGGCTATTATCATCGAAGTAAAATTCTTCTAATTTTCATTTTCATTGAAAGCAGTTGATAGTTGTAACATTAAATTGTTTGTGCTCCGCAAATCTGTGTTTGCTTGCATGGTTTTGTGCAAATAATTGTGTTAAACATTAGCAAATCCTAGATCCTATCATCCTCTATAAATAAAGTTAAAATAAATAAAAAAATCTATGGCTTTGTAAGGAGGAGTAAGGGATTCCCAAATAAGAAAAGAAACCAATTCAAATGGATTCTATAACAGGCTTACAATCAAGGAAACTCTAGGTAGAAGACAAAAATTTGTAAACAATGGACATGATGAAACAAAATTAATGATGAAGGTTACTAGTTCTAAATTGGAAGGCGAGGCCACCCTCAAAACTATCAATGAGTTACCTTGAATTAGTTTTATTCGTAGAACTATGCTAACACATAGAATAGCTCCCTAATAACTGCAAGCTATGCAGATCAAATGTAATAGAGGAACTATAGTCCATGTAAATTATGAATGGAATGAAATCACGTAGTATAAAACTTCTATAAAGGAACATACCTCAAAAAGTAATTCATCTGGCAAACAGCGATGAATGAGGGCAGGATCATCAAAAGGTTTGCTGCTTGCACTTCCAAATGGAGCGACAGGACGAACTCGATTTCCATACAGATCTAATAAGGATCAATATAAGGGGTAAAAAAAACCTTTGGAAGAAAGGACAGAAGAGGGCACAACACTAGTTTTTTCATAAGCTCACTCAACCAGGGTCTTTCGGTTCCCATAAACTGCATAGTTATCAAACGAGAGGACCATCCCAGCTCCGGAGGAGTTGAAATGCTGATATCTGCAAAATCAAGCACAGTCTTAAAATAAATGAAACGATTAATGCATCGTATGATCAAAATTGCAGGCTTTTCCCAACTACTACAGAAAATATTCCATCCCATTCTTAATTGGTAACATTCATAGCTATATTAAGCAAAAGTTTGCATTTCATCATCTTTCATTAAGATTACCCATATCAACACATTGATTATTGAATTTAATAGGGATTATAAGATACTTCCCACTTAAAAACGCAAACATCCAGCTGAAAAAGCTTTAGATAACCACGAAGGACCACCCTCAAACCCTCAAGTGGAAGCCCTAATAAAAAGTTTGCATTTTTATCCACAATAACCACGAAGCAGACAAATATTTAAACAAAACTGAGACCTGAATAATCGAATCCATAAATTGGAGAGCACCAAGTTTTTTAGTTCATAAAATTCAAAATCCCATAATCCCTTAAAGCTTCAGATAAATTTTGACTACCAAATGCACGGTCAAACAGATAACCAAATGCAAGATCAAGCAGCAAATTTTCTAAGCAGGATGCGTTGAAGACAGACAAAATCAGAAGGTTGAAACTTCGGCCGCCTAAGAAAGATTTACCTGAAGCCATTAGAGCTGAAATTGCTTGGATTTGTTAAAGAATGGCGGAGGGAGGAAATAGGTCGGAGAACGCATCCCCTTCTTCCGTCATCTTCTCAGAAACTAGCTAACAGAAGAAGCGAAACGATTTCTATGTTTAAGTGAACTATAGAACTAAAATCCGGAATCTGACCGTCCGATTCGAGTTGGCATCGACCATCCATTCCGAACTTCATCTGATCGCGACCGTTGAATCTGCTGACTAGTTGAGAAGTCAGGGACCGAGTTGGATCGGTGGCAACTCTGGTGTAACCACAAAAGCAATGCCAAACAACCCCCGCTTTTTTTAAGTGGTATGTATGTAAATCACTTTTTTTTAATGGAGAATTTAAATTTTAAAATTTTGGTTAATTGTAAAGTGGCATATATATAAATCCTTTTTTTTAAATGGGGAATTTAAATATGTGGGCAAATATATCTAATATCTAAATTTTATTATTTATAATATTTAGCACATCTTTAACATTCTTATTATTTTTGCCCATTGATGCTTTCTCCCAACAAGTTAAATCAAGACTTCAAATTCTTGAACAAATCGCCAATGCAACTTCTCCTTTTATGCAAATCACTTTGATCCGCTGATGTCCTCACCATGAATTCTAATAGATGTCACCTTTAATTGGCCCATTGATGCCTTCGCTTGCGAGCTCAATCGAATCAAGCCGTCATGGGATCCGTTAGTGCCTTTGCCTAAGAGCTATGATGTAATTCTCACTTCTTTGTCGTTGAAGGGCTTAAGAAAAATGAAGAGGAGAGCGAGGGGAACCAATGGCATGTGAAGGATGGTGTGATGGACAACAATGAAAGCACTATAATTGATACCCACTTAAGAGGTGTTGCCGCTCTAAGGCAATCGAGCACGGATTGAGGAGTTCCCAACCGTACTCTCCCACCAACCAAGCTAAACAATAGTGGGTAAATTTAAATATTTTATTGGGGTGAGGGTGTTATTTTTTATTTTTATTTTAATGTTTTAGATGTTATCTATGTAAATAGTAAAATTCAAGTATTAAATATGTAAATATCTATATTTTGAGAGCTATGTATGTAAATCCTCTTTTCTATTTTAGATTTATTAACCCGATTTTTAAGTTTAGGGTTCCTACTAATTTGAAAAAAGATGTATCAATTTATTTGACAATCCTTAAAATAAATGTATTAGTAACTCTAACTAAGAGATTATAGAATAAAAAATATCATTATAATATTCTGAAATTTACATTCTATACGCAAACTTCAAATAAATATTTTTTTTAATTCTATCATCCATTATCTAAATCTTTTTTTAACTAGAATGTGGACAGTAATAATACATAAATATTTTTTTGAATGATTACTTGATTAGTATTAAGGCATACATTTAATATATATAAGATTAAATTCCTTTATATTGGAAAAATCTTGTAAAATCTATATAAACTAAGTTAGTTAGCATTTATAACATCAATAATTTTGAAGCATAATCCTAATTTAATTTTAACAGAATAAATTTAATAAATTATTATAATAAATAAAATAATAATATTTTCTCATCATATTCACTAATAATTCATTGTATATTGCCATTATTCCTGTGGGGATTGACCGTAAGTTGCTTAGCTCAGGATTTGCTCGGTATTGCTAGGTATTTGCTCGGTATTGCTAGGTATTTGCTCGGTATTGCTAGGTATTTGCTCGGTATTACTAGGTATTTGCTCGGTATTGCTAGGTATTTGCTCGGTATTGCTAGAAAAAACTAGGTACAACTCGGTATTTGCTAGATATTTGAAATATATCCAAAAAGTGATGGGATATTGTTCGGTTTGTAAAGGAATTAAAAAAATGCATGTACGAGAACCCAAAAAACGGCGGGTCGGGTCGGCGACTTTTCTTAATGCTACGTGTCGCTAAAATATTGGTGGCCGAACGTAGAGGAGCGTACGTTTCCAGGCCGACATTCTTAGAAGAGGATGTAATTGTAATTCAGTTTGCTGCCTTCTTTTTTTCCTTCAGATTTGCGCTAAAGCTATATCCATCTCTCAAAATGGATTTTGCAACTTTTCATTGCCTAATCAGATTCTAATCTACTTTCTGCCCTATTTTTAAATGCATAACCGAGAGACTTAGGCTTCATTTGGGATGGCTTTCTTTCTACTTTTTCTACTTTTTAAAGCAGCTCTTTAAGAAGCTGAAAGAAAACCGTCCCAAACAAAACCTTAGGCTTCGATTGGGACGGCTTTCTTCTTGCTTGTTAAAGCGGCTTTCTAGTACAAAAATTAAAATGTTTGTACTAAAAAACCGCTTTAAGAAGCAGTAAGAAAGTAGTCCCAAACGAAGCCAGGCTTCGTTTGTGACTACTTTTTTATTGCTTCTTAAAGCAGTTTCCTAATACAAAAATTAAAATTTTTGTACTAGAAAGTTGTTTTATAAACCACTTTCTTTCTGCTTCTTAAAGCTGCTTAAATTTTAATTTTTGTACTAAGAAGAAGTTTTAAGAAGCAATAAAAAAGCCATCCCAAGGCTTCGTTTGCGACCACTTTTTTATTGTTTCTTAAAATGAAATTTGTAAAATTCCGTTACAGAAAGTAATAAAAAAGCCGTCCCAAACGAAGTCTTACGCTTTGATCAGGAGATATTTCTTGCAACTTTTTAAAACAGCTTTTATTATAAAATTATTTAAAATAGGAGTTGTTATACTAAAAATTTACTTTAAAAATTAATAAAAAAGCTTTCTCAAACACAGCCTTAAAAAAAATCTAATTGTTTTCATTTATTATTTCTATTTGACATTGCCAATGCGAGTGTGAAAGACCTTAATATTATCCAAAGGATTGCGCTATTGAAAAGATGAAAGCTGATGATTAAGAGGTTTGGATAGCAAAACTATAAATCATGAAACTCAAAAACTTCTTCCTAATCACCCTTAACATTCAACCAAATCATAACGGTGAACTGAAGCTGAAGTGTTCTTATGCATTCCCTTAAAAAAATATTATATTACATCCCTTAGCTACTGACAGTTTAGTCTTGATACATTTCAAAATTGGTAGATATGCAGAAGTTTTGCAGCTGATCATGTATTGCAAATGTCACTGTGCTATTTCTTTTTTTCATTTTTTTCTAAAATATTTGATAGGAAACACTTATAGATCTCAAGTATTTCCTATCAATATTCGGAAAACAGCGAGAAAATGATTCCAAACTCTAATGCAAATAAAAAAAAAACAATAATTTTTATTGCAATAATCAAAGATACGGAAGAAAATAGTAAGATACAGTTGATCCTCAATTCGAGAGGACGATCGATCTCTCCCAAATTCTCTAGACGCCGTTAGAGCCCAAAGGAAACCTAAACCTAAGAGATCTCAAATTCAGCCAAATTCAAGATGCCCTAACCATGGTCCATCAGAGATCAAACTATTTAATGCATACAAATCAAAAGGAAATCCCTAAACAGTCCATACATTCAAATTCCTCCTAAACTCCCCTAAAAAACCCTTCCAAAACTGCTCTGTTGGCGCTTGCAATGCGATCGACATCCAGGAGAGGCGGATGCTTCCGCCTCGGTTCCGCCTAGGTCGGTGCCGTATGGACCGGATGGACCGGTCTAACAATATGTTCACATATAATAATTCTAACTTTGAATGTAAATGCAAGTCACAAATCTAATGATCTGTAATTAACTGATTAATTTACATCCTAATGCAAGACTAATAAAAAAAATGCAAACAAAGACTATATATACCTTCATAGTTAATCCTGCAGCAAGTGTCTACAGCACAAATTCTTTTACTTTATTGTTATTCTTTTGTTAATGTTGAGCACAAAATTCATATCATATTGCTTCGAAGGTAAAGCCCTCCTGAAACAGAACAAAATCCCCAAATACTGGAGCAATCAAATGGCCACATTTATTTCAGAAGATCTCTTGAAAAAGTACATAGGAGTTATCTACAGCAATGTGCAAGTTGTACATATCTTTACAATTCAATTGTACTACTAGCTACTTCAATTTTTTTTCCACAAATGTTCATACATGATGCAGTTATTATCAGTTTTTGTTCTAAAAAACAGCTTTAAGAAGCAATTAAGAACCCGTCCCACACGAAGCCTTCGGTTACCTCTTTTAATTACTTTTTCTTAATTTAAGTGTTTAAATTTATCATTCTTCGCAGAATTTTTAAGATTTGTCCGGCAATACTTTAGCTGTTAAATAATCTGAATTATTTGCTTTAGCCAGAATAATCTAATTGTGTTGAAACTGATATTGATGATGAATATTTAGCAACTTTGAAAATGGTTATAATTTGAACGAATGAAATAATTTGTTATTTGAGATTTATGTTCTTATTCTATACTCTGACGATTATGATTCTCAAATACTAGATTTGGAAATGAAAAAATGATCATAGACTAGCCAACTAATATGATTTATTATTGGCCAACTTGAGAGTGTTCTTCAGGCATTTGCTCGCTGCATTCTACCCTTATACTAAAAAAGCTTTTAAAAGATAATTTAGAAACTAGTCTAGCCTTTTAACCTAGCCTCCAACCCTTTTTATGGCCTCGTAGTGGTCCTTCAAGTTTCCATTGTGATCATCAAGAATCTGATAGGAAATACTTGAAATCAAGTATTTCCTATTCACCTTTACAGCAAATCTCCATGAAATACTGCTGTCCAGAGCAGGAGAACAGTGAAAACAGTGGAAAACTGAGAGAAAATCGTAGGAAAAACTTTTATTTAACTAGTAGATGCAAGAAAATTAGCAAAGATACAATTGATCCTCAATTCGAGAGGAGGATCGATCTCTCCCAAATCTCTAGACGCCGCTAGAGCCCAAAGAAACCTAAATCTAAGAGATATCAAATTTCAGCCAAATTCAAGATGCCCAAACCCTAGGAAAACATCTATTTAATGCATACAAATCAAAAGGAATTCCCTAAACAGTCCCTACATTCAAATTTCTCTCTGAAACCCCCCAAAAATCCTTCCTAAAACGCTTTGTTTGAGCGCTCGGGCCGCTCGTTCTCCGCCAGGAGGCGGAATCTCCGCCGTTTTTGCGATTTCGTCCATGAACCGGTCTCGCCTGGACCGGTCCAGTGGACCGGTCTAACAGAATCTTTGATCGAATAACTAAATACATTAATATGATAAGTTAGATGAGGTGTAAAATCTGTTTTGGGTAAATATTTATAAAAAATTCATATCCATATTACCTTGGATCTACCTTTTTACCTTCCTAACAATTGGAAATTAATTTAATCCTCCTAAGTTGATTCTCTAGCTTTTGTTGTTCATTTCCAAACTACTTAACTATATCTTTCATAGATTTTACATTCATCATGCTTTTAATATTATCATTCTCTTAATATTATCAGCATCCTAATGTATATCATCTTGGTTATTAATGATTTTTTTAACACAACAAAACAAACCTAATGGGATTTTTTATAAAATTTACATTTAGGTCTCCATGATATTCATTTATTGCATTAAATACCTTAGATACTTTGCCATTTAACAACCTAGTCATAAATCTAGAAGTTATATCCTTGGTCTTTATCTTTATTCTTATGCTAAACAGATCAAAGATACTTAAATGAATAGCACACAAGTATCAATTAATTTCTAAGTAATTGACTAAAAATTATTAATATTATGCTGACTAGAATTACATATCATATAATAAGTTTCTTCGACCAATAACATGCCATCCATTTTATAAATATTATCTCCATTGTTCTAATTTTAAATTTATTTTAGCATTTGTCTCATTGCTTATAAATATATTATCTATGAAAAACATATACCATGATACCTCATATTGAACATCCTGTCATTAAAACTAATAATAATAAAAAAAAGATATAAACTAACAAATGGGAACTAAATATCTAGGTGACACAAGTCACACAATCATACAACACTTAAAATATGCCTTAATGGAAATATTTTAACCAAATGTTGAAGCAATATTTCCTTTATTATCCTAATTACGGGTGGTGCTCCTCTGTTCATATGTAGTGAGTGCAATATAATAAAATTAACCACTTTGATGAAGAAAATGTATTTTTAATATATTAACTGCATTAGTAATAGAAAATTTCCAATATTTGTACAAAATCTAATGCAAGTAGAAAGCATCCTCAAGTAAAGAAATGTGATAAGGTTTTATATCACTTTTAATGTCTAAGTCTTAATTTAGTTGTAAGCTTAAAAAGTATTTCAACTAAGGCTACTTCAAGATCACTTCTCTCCTCATTAAATTCACTTATCTCTTCTTCAAATTCATGCAAATTATCCTTATTATTATTTTTTTCTTTTCCTCCAAACAGCATACAATTTTCTACAAGGACATTCATTTTCATAATGACAAAATTAATGACACTTGTAATAGGCTTTAGCATAAATCTTAGAACCAAATGTAGAAGCAATAGATTTCCAATTATTATAATAGTGATGTTACTCTGTTTAGGTGTATTGGGTACCGCATATAGAGTTTGATTACTTTGATGAAAAAATGTATTTTCAACATTAATAGTAACTCTCTAATAAGAAAGGAAATTTCAATATCGTTCCAAATCTAAGGCAAGTTGGAAAGATTGCTTAAGTCATGATATAAGGTGTCATCTCTTGTTTGATGCAAGTCTTAATCCAAATCTAAATCTATAAAGTGTTATTTTAAGATCTTCACTAATTTAAGAATCTAGTAGTAATTCTTTGTTCATATATTTAGTGACAATCTTTCTTCCTTATTTTATGGAATTAAATTCATTAATTAGATGATCATGATATGATAATGACAAAAAATTTCTTTAAACAAATTTTTGTATTTCAACCCAAATATATGTAGGTTCTCTATAAAAAATTTTCCTTTATTTTTCATGCTCACCTAGTATATTCTAGCTTAGCCTAGTTAATTTTAGTCTAGCAAATCAAAATTGATGCTCACCCAACATCACTTGTTACTCAAAGAAATTATGCATGTTCATCGCCTAGCAAAAACCTTAAGAATTAACATTGACAGTTCAATGGTAACTTCTTTGACATTTCATTGTTCAAGTCATATATTTGATGTTTATGATTGTCACAAGCTTCGTATCGCATACCCTAAAAGAACAATCTTGATTGTTTCTCTCAAGATGACTTTCTTGACTTCTAACTATGTTGGCATTCAAATAGATGAATTCATCATTATAATTAGATTCAACTTCATGCTAATGTGGTTTAGGTTGATTCATTTTCAAGTTTTTAATTCATTCTTTAACCTGATTTATATTATCATTCATTTGATTTTGTTTGTTAAGCAATTCAAATAATTGATTTTGTTTTTTAGTTGTTAGAATCAGGTCTCTTTGATGATTTGTTAACTCACCCCAATATAAATCCTCACTTCTAGTTGATATTTTGATACAACCTTGAGCTATGATACCAAATATGATACAAGCATATTAAAGACTAGGGTTACATAATGCAAACATATAATGGAATGCACAAAATCACACAAATAAATTCAAATTTGTGTTCATAAACTATCAATTTTGACACTTAATCATCCCTTTAGATGAAACCCAAATCTACACAAAATCTACACAAGTTAAATTTAGCAATCGTCTATCAAAAATCACATATACCAATTCATGCAAACAAATGAATTAGACATTGAGCGAAACTAAAACAGCAAGCGGAAATAATCAAATCATGCTATATTTGATAACAATCAATCACATATACAAAATAAGGACTAAATTTCTGATTTCAAACAGAGCGAAGGAAATAAATTTCAAATAATGATCCATGCCTCACAATAGTACAAAAAGATAATGCCCCCTTAAAAAGTTTGCAATCCACAATAGCACTGAACTAAGAAGAATCACATCCAATCAGCACTTAATGAAGGTGAAAACCAAACTAGAATATCAATGCAATTGCATTTTGCACATGCCATGAACAAAATAAAATATCATAAAATCATTCGACAATCATATAATGAAGTCAATAGCAACATAGCATTAAATAAGATCACCTATTATCACATCATCGGGGACATAAATATAACTAAGATGAAAGATTATAGGAGTGAAAACCTTATAATAATGCTTCTTTCCTTTCAATATCCACCACTTTATCTTAAGGCTTCTCTTTTTACCTTTTTTTTTAAATCCTTACAACTTACACCCGTAAATACTATTTTTGTGTTGGATAGTCAAAACATTTGCAATGATCACTTCACAAACTTTGCAAAGAGATTTTTCTTACACTCTCGATAAATTAAGTTCGAGAATCATCTTATGAACAACAAAATCCAAACAGAATAAAATTATATGAAGATGGAAATTAGGATTCAGAAGTCCAACCAAATTAGTTGAACAAGGCTGTATACATTGCACACTATAAAAGATGCTTCAAAAATTCACAATTACACGAGAAATTGAGAAATTCTATAAGCCTCATCGATAATTCACATTAACGGAAGTTCATTTAAATTTTTAAGAAGTAAAAACTCGCAGGCTAAGCCATGATCCACAAATCTATCCATCAACAAGTAGAGGGTAACGAAATCATTACATATTAGCACTATAATAAGAGAATCATCCTCGTAACCTCCTACAAAAACAGATACGCGACACCAGAAAACTAATATGACATAATTTGTTGAATCATTTTGATGCCAAAAGTACCTCAGGTCTCCTAGGTTTGCTAGGAGTGCTTGGGTTTGACGCAGGCCCAGGTGCAGCAAACATCAGTGCATCTTTCGCAGTCTTCCTTGTACTCTTATCCAGCTGGATCAAACTGCGAGCAGCCAGAATCACTTGGGGTGTTATATCATGTGAGGCCCGTGCATAGACACAGCGGACAGCAGCCGAAGCTGCATCCTTCACCTCCTCTGAAATCAATGGAGCCAGAAGACAGTGCCCCAAAATTCTCATAACTGGCTGCAAGAGCTCCCAAGGAAGCGGAACTCTTGAGCCTCTTCGTGAATTCCTTCCAACCCCCTCCCACTTGCATTCCCCATTCAACCGATCCTGAATGGCCAACCCACCCATTCCCTCAGCTGCATTCTCGATATCTCCACCTTCTTCACCAAAGCTCCTCATCTCTGGAGAGGAAGATGAATTAATGTCATCATCAAATTCATGGCGACACGGACAATCTTGGCCAGCCCATGACGAAACAAACTCGCAGAAATCAATCTTAGAACACGAAGGCATGAGAGATATCTTTCTGTAGTAGCAATCAAGAGCAATTCCAACAATAGATGCACGCTTCGTGGATTTCACGGCTATCTGAGGCTCTAACGGCGGAGATAGAACTCCAATGGTCGGTTTATGCGCTGAAACAGAGCCTTTCGACGGAGTGTGGTAAAGGGAGGGCTGTGATAGATCCGGAATAGATATGAGGAGGGGTTTGCCCGAGCGGACTTTGACCTCGGAGCCATAGAGCGCGAGAAGTACTGCTTCAAAACCGGCAAGAGAAGGCGCAGAACCAGATGCCGAAGAGACAGAAAAGGTGACCACGCGGGAGAGGTATAGGCCGGCAAGGAGGGGTACAAAAGCGAGAACAACGAGGCGGAGGTCGGGATCTGAGGACTGGTACGTCTCGTAGAGCCACTGGCAGAGTGGATCGTCACCAGATCCGGCGGAGGTGTGGGAAAGCGCAGCGGAGACGGCGAGATAGGCGTCACTGGAATTAAGAAGGGAGCGAGCTGGACGGTCGGATTCGGCGAGGGAGATAAGAGAAGGTGAAGCGAGGAGAGAGGAGAGGGCATGGATGCGGGACTGGGCCTTGGAGACGGATTCCCACCAGGAGTGCATCGTGTTGCTGGAGCTGGAACTAGGGTTAGGGTTGGGGTTAGGGTTACGATTGTTGGCTTCAGAGGAAGAAGAGATAGTGGCGGAAGAAGAGGAGGAAGAAGGGGAGCCGTTTGTCGTTGTCATCGGAGGAGACGACGGCGGAAAATTCCGAAATGTTAGATCTCGTACGCAGAGCGATCGATTGGTATAACCTGGACGGGTTCGGTCCACGTCTTTCGGACGAACAAATGCCGGGACGGCTTTCCGTCCGATCGGCCGCTCGCAACCTTCGCACGCGACGGACCGACCAGCCTCCCTCTGCCGCAAATCTCCTTTATATCCGATAAATTTTACTTTTTTTTCTCTTTGATTCTCTCGCCAGACGCCTCCTTCATCTTGACTTTTAAAGCAAATAAACAACTTAAGGCATCAAATTTTCCCTGCTCCTTGCAATAGCAGCCAAAATCATCCTTTCTCCATCTCTTCATTTCTTTCGCTCCAAAGAAACCACTAAGTTAGGGTGTCAAAAATTAATACGATCTGAAAATTCAACTCGAAGCTGATCCGAATTTTTTAGGTTAGGGTCAATCCGAATTCGAAACAGGTCGGATTCAGGTCTTGATTTTTTACCTGTTTTGAATTCTGGGTCGGGTTCGGATTGACTCGGAAACCTGAAAATGGCCTGGTTTTGATCTGGAATCATGTAGTTCGGTGTATTTACGGGATTTGGCCTCTAAGTGCATGAAACAGAGCAAGTTACCTTCACAGCGAGCGAACTCCAGTCATTGCTTCCGATCAAAATGCTGTAACTTCCAATCCGTCTGGAAGGGAACATCGTCAATGAGCGAAGTCGAACAACAACGAAGGAGTCGACAACTCCTGCAATCTCTAGAGCAAATCAACAAGAAGATAAAAAAGCAAATGCCTCTAAGCGCATGAAACGAAGAAAGTTACCTTCATAGCTAGCGAACTCCCGTCGTTGCTTCTGATCAAAATGTTGTAACTTCCGATCCGATTGGAAGGGAATGTCGTCCAAGGAGCGAAGTCGAATAGCAATGAAGGAGCCGATGACTCATGCAATCTCTTCATCAATGACGGAAAAAAAAAAGAAGATAAAAAAGGAAACCCTATACGTCTCTAAGTTTTAAGGTCGACGACAGCAATGCCTCCTTCGATGACAAACTCATGCATGAATCTTGTAGGCTTAATTATTAACATTCATTATGTTTTCAAGTCTGAATTGTTTCCCTTTAGTCATATCTTGAATGTTAAATTAGGATTTATTGCTTGTAGCCATAGGGCTTTTGAATTTTATCCTCGAGGCATAATCGGTTAAGCATCTTTTGAGTTTTGGGCTTTATGTCACTAGCCTAATGGTAAGTATTGTTATCTATTTTTATGTAAACACATCATTCTTTGTTAGAGGCATAATTCATGCCAATTATATTAGGTTCTCTTATAATTATTTAGAATTTTAAATTGGCGATTTTATTTTGAATTCTTTAGCATAATCACACATGCAGTAAACCTTCAGTATTGTTTATAATGAATCAACATGTGATAAACTTAACTTTACCTTGATTTATTGCTCTTTAGTTCTTATTCATGCAAGTTAATTTTGTGTTGGAAAAAAAATATACTATTTAGTTTTGTTAAATAAAATGAATCTCATTCATGTACATCATAACAATTATACAAATCATATTTAACATGTTGATTTATATAATATATGTTGGTTATTCATAAAAGCATTTGTCGTGTATAATTATGTGTCTGTCAATAAAATCCTATTGGTTTTTGGCTAGTCGGGGTCAATGGATCCCTAGAGTGCCGACTCTACAAGAAATCAATGCATTTCCTTGGGTTGGCGTTTACCTTATCGATGATGGGTAAATGATAAATCGATTATATATATATATACACACACTTGAGTTGTAAACAATAAATGACTGATATGTCAGTTGAGGTATGATGATGCTAGTATGATTATATTTATGAGGATTATAATAATTTGCATTGATAGAAATTTAGCTAATACATTAATGACACTAGCATATTAGAATTATGTAGTAGGAAACATGAAATGTGTTATTTCTACTTTGTTTTGCTAAAATTATGTTATTACTTCTACCATTTAGATGTCCATATTGCATGTCCCGTTTCTTTTCCTTTATACTTTGATAGATATAAGTTAATTGTTGAGTTTGATTTATTAAAATCACACAGTTGTCCTTTTTACAGTAGGTCCTACAAGCATGTTTAGTGGACCATCATCTCAGGAGAAGAGTTAAAAGCAGAAGATTAGTTTTGGTATTTTATATTTGTAACAGTTTATTTTGCTTTTGATTGATGGTTGGGTAATTTTCTTTCTTGTTTTTGTCCTATTTACATTCCTCTTGGCTAATATCAGAACTATTTTTATTTGGATGTATTAATTATTTGCATATTATTAATAAATTGGCTTTTAATACACTTCATTTGCTTACTCTGATGTAAATACATATGTTCAACATATTAACGGGAATTAGTCGAAGGGGCATGCGAAAGGGGGGAAATATCGTTAATTCCATGGTGAGCTCCCATAATGACTTACTATTAAGGCTACCTGTAATTAGTCATGTAACCGTATATATGTAATAAATAACCTGTACATGTATATAGATGATATCTTGCTATAAATAGCCAGGCTCTGTATTAAGCTCAACATAATAAAATCATATTTGTTCTGTACACAATGTCTCTGTCTTTATGGTATGAGCACGGTTCAAGTTTCTTTTTCTTGAACAGTACCTTTCTTCCTCTATCGATCGTTCTTCTTCTATTCATCCTTCTTCTTCGGTAGATCTACTGGTGATCAGTATTCTCATGGAGGATTCGTCTACTTCTCTCTCAACAACACCACAAGATCCTGTTGGCGGCGAGTACAATATACCAGCAGCCCTCAAATTTTTTGGGAATTTGAGAATTTACAGGTACAGGTTATTTATTACATATATACGGTTACATGACTAATTACATGTAGCCTTAATACTTACAATCGAACACGAATATTGACATCATCAAAAGAGGCTAAAAAGGATCATTAAGCTACTCTTTCAAAATTATAATTCTAAGGAAAAGCAAACCCTAAATAGGCATAGGGCTAAACAAAATAAAAGAGTAGATTATAAAAATAGGCAAGCAATGACTGAGAAGAATATAGTCCACCATTCCCATGTTCTTTTTTTATCCTACATCTTTTCTTAAATTTGCTTATCATTTTTTTCCTAATTTCAAATTAAAAAATAATAATAAGTAATTCAAGTTATTATATAGTGATAATTTTTTAATTTTTGCATATAAATTAAATAAAATTAATATTTCATTAACTTAATGTTTAATTAATTGAGATATAAGTTACATAAAAAGTAATAATATTCAATCATATAAAATAAATTATTCGTAATAAGTAATATTAAGTAATTATAAATATTAATAAATAATTTGATAATATTAAATTCTTATTTAAATTATTCTTCAGAATTTAACAATTATTCGATTCAATTTTCAAATATTTTTAAATTTGGAGTTTGATCTGTTCGTTTTATTTGAATAATAATAAAAATAATTTATGACTTGGTGGAGCCCGCGGTACGCTGGCAGAAAGCTGTCTGAAAGCGATGAGCGTAAGAATATTATTATATCGAGAATATGTATATTAAAATTTTCATATATATTATTTATATTATAAAATTTAATTAAAGCTATTTTGGAGTTCTTTATATTTTTTAATTATTTATGGGTATATTCCTTTTTTAATAATTAATATTAATATTTTAAATTTATAATCTTAAATATAAACTATGTTAACAAAGGAAAAATAATGGATCTTTTTATGAAGAATTTATATTAAATTTTATATAATAAAAGTTATCGATAAAAAAGATTTTTTTTTAAACATTTTCTCAAAAGTTGTAAGTCTAAAGGCATGTTTAAAAAATAAATAAATAAATAAAAACCTATCATTGATTTTTTTTTTATTTATAAAAGTCCAACCTCCAAAGTTTGAAATTATATGCATTTCAATTTGATTAGATGGAAGTCAAACTCTAAATGGATAGCTTTTAGTTTGTCTTTTATGGAGAAAAATTGAAATCTCCAACCGAACGTCAAACATGCGCATGATGTCGTTCAGTCGCTCCAGCCGAATACCAAATCTTCCGCTATTTGATTGCGAGTGAATAGTGCGATGCCAATATTGGCATTGCACTGTTCACCTACGCGATTTTTCTGTCTCTATCAGATTTGCCAAAGAAACACGCGAAAGAGGGAAAAGACGGTTACTTTCGCAGAAGCGCGCAAAATGGAGTTCGATTAGAGATGAATAACGATATTTTTGAATTTCATTGCATTTTGGAGTGAAAAATTGAATTTTATGTTGGAGATGCTCTAAGGGCGCACGAATCGCAAAACCCAGTTTAGCGCACCAATCCCCCAAAATGAAAAAAAAGGGGCAGGTGTTTGCTGATGTATGTTAATGCATGTGTGACATGCAAGTTGTGCTCGTGCTAGCATGGGCATCAAAGACTTGCATGCCAGTGAATTCAGGCCAAAATTTTAGGCTATGACAAACCTATCTTGGTGTTTTTAAGAGCTTTGTCATAATTTTTTAACATTCAAGACTCAATTTTAATTTTTTCAAGGTTTAACGAAGTATTTTACGATCAATTTAAATCGATTTAAAAAAATTCTAAACAAAAGTCGACGAAAAACTTTTTCTCTAATTGATGTGCAGAGCTTAAGGGAGGCTAGATTTGCAATTTAGGAATGCTTGATTGGCTCAAGGCCTCGACGAGGGAAAATTATTACGTCCGGTGTCCGGATTCGTCCGGACACCAATTCAGATGCACCACGTCACCAAAATACATCGGGACCCAGTGTATTTGGGTGACGTGACGCATCTGGATTGGGTGTCCCACCGGACGGACGTAATAATTCACCCTCGACGAGAGATCAATGTTGTCATGTTGACATTTTGTGAGTGATCACATTGTGTAATTTTTTGGTGTTGTAATTTTGCACCGTTTTGTGAATCGAACATAATTGCATACATCGAATACCTTTTGATGTTTATTGGTTTGTCAAAAATATTATTTTGAATTAAACATATCCTTATACGACATAATTTTTTATGTCAAAAAAATTAAGAGGTCAATTGATACATTATATAAGAAAAATCAACTTGATCAAGCAAGAATCACAAAGCAATTTAAGTGAGAAACTTTCAAAATTTAGTTGCAAACTACTTCAACTTCAATTTTAGCAAACTCATTCTCATATTGATCAGTTTGACAAGACAAGCTCAATGACACGAAATGAACCAATTCAAGTCCAAATGGGCCAAGATCATGCA